AAAAATGAAATGCATAAATATAGGATGGGGGACACCTGGCTTAACGAGGCTACGTGTGAAAGGCATCTAGGAGTCCTAGTAGATCACAAGTTGAACATGAGTCAACAGTGTGATGGGGTAGCTAAAAAGGTCATTGTGATTTTAGGCTGCATCAATATAAGTATAGTGACTAGATCAAGGGAAGTAATAGTGCCACTGTATTCTGCTTTGGTCAGCCCCCACCTGGAATACTGTGTCCAGTTCTGGGCACTACAATTCAAAAAGGATGTTGAGAAACTGGAGCGTGTCCAAAGGAGGGTGACTAAAATGATGAAGAGTCTGGAAACCATGCCCTATGAGGAATGACTTAGGGAGCTGGGTATGTTTAGCTTGTGGAAGAGATGGTTAAGAGGTGATATAGCTCTGTTTAAGTATTTGAAGGGATGTCATATTGAGGAGGGAGCAAGCTTTTTTTCTGCTGCTCCACGGAACAAGACCTGGAATAATGGATGCAAGCTACAAGAAGAGATTCCACCTCAATATTAGGAGGATCTTCCTGACAATAAGGGCTGTTCAACAGTGGAACACACTCCCTCCGAGAGTGGTGGAGTCTCCCTCCTTGGAGGCCTTTAAACAGAGGCTGGATGGCCATCAGTCGGGGATGCTTTGATTTTGAGTTCCTGCATGGCAGGGGGTTGGACTGGATGGCCCTTGTGGTCAACTCTGTCTTACCAGGCTGCTTTTAAAGAAACAGGGACCAGCTCATGAATGGGGTAAAGCTGCAATTCAACTGTGTATAAGACTCAGAGCCAATCTATTTTTTCCCATGAAAAAACTGCAGTTCAATTGCAGGGCAATTACAAAAAAACCCAACCCCAAAACAAAAAAACACAACTAAGTTAAAAGATGAATTTGGGGTGGAGATGGGGAGTTTAGCCAAGTGATGTCTACAGAACTATCACACAATTCTCTTCCTCACCAGCGAAAACAAGGAAAGAATCAAGAAAAGTTAAGCTCTATGCCATAAAAGGATAACTGTAACTGAGGGCCTCAAATAAACATACATACAAAAACAACAGCAACCAAACCAGACTTTTCCCATAACAGCTCACTTTCATTATCAGTAATCAAAGTAGCCAAAGGATCTAGCAGGCCAGCCAGAAGGCCTCTGCCTTACAATGGTTTATATGAATTTCATATGCTTGCTTATATAAATCTACAAATTCCCAAGGTGTTCCTTTAATAATCAGCATAGAAGCCAAAACAACTGTAGAACTCAGCAGCAAGTTACATAGAAAGAAAAAGCTGGTCCAAGGCCATTTCCAGTCATGGTGTCACCCGATCCTCCACCAGGGTAACATTTATGTTTATTAAAGCAATTCAGTGTACAGCTGAAAAGGTAAAAAAGTAGGTTTCCACCCCCACTTCACCCTGTTTCCCATGAACCTCTGCTGTTCTCTTTGATCAAGACAAACTGGTAAAATTGCATTGGTGGAATTCCAATGCCATCAGTGGGATTTGTTATTGACGAAAAGATTTAAGCTACTTTAAAGGAAATTAATCTTGTAATTCTCTACTCATCTGAAAGTGAGACTTACGTAAAAAATAAGTATCGTATATACTTGACTATAAGTCGACCTCATTTATAAGTTGAGGGCAGGTTTTGGG